ACATTTGTTCCTAAACTTTGTGTACAATATCCCAATGGTTGTCTCTTTTGTGGTACAAGAATATACGGTTCTTGGTTCACCGATTTGTGTTCTGGTTTTCTTGCGTTGGTGATTATGCATAGTCCCTGAAAGTCTTCCAAGGACACTGTGAAGTCCATTGTGGTTAACCTGAGCATTGACACATGCCTTTTGGATTGGCAGGTGCTCAGTTCGCATTTAGACGGTTAATGAATTTGCTGCTGAATAATTTGAGGAACGTCGAAGTTTATGGAGATGTCCTAGTGATGTACAGTACGAGAGAGACTGACCATGTAGAGCATGTAGAGGCAGTTCTAAGACTCATCGATGATTCCAGTCCATACATCAACAAGGAGATATCTCAGGTTGCTAAGAAGTACGTTACACTTTTGGGTCATAAGGTGGGAAATGGGGAGTTAACACCCCTGCCGGAAAAGATCTTAATAATCAAGTCCATTGAGCCCCCAAATTCGAAAAGGAAAGTACGACAGTTTTGGGGAGAGCAGCATCCTGCAGTCGATTCGTGAAAAGCTTCAATAAAATAGCGGCTCCGCTCTACCGACTATTAGGCGAGTCAAAGTTTGTCTGGTCGGAAGACTAGCAGAGGGTATTTGACCACATCGAACAGCTGATGGATCACCAGAGAATGACGCTGCCGCTACCGGCGACGGAAGAGCCGTTCATAGTGTCTACCGACGCTAGCAATTCCGGAAAAGGTGCAGTACTCAGACAGGATGACGGAGTCGTCGGGTACGCCAGCCATGTTTTACCGCACACAGAAGAGAAGTATTCAACAATTGAGGAGTGTTTGGCGATTGTGTGGGCGTCAGACAAGTAGAGACCCTATTTACTGGGTCAATGCTTCCACGTAGAGACTGGTCATAAGCCGTTGCAGTGGCTGAGGACCGCCAGAGACTCGCGTAGGAGGCTGTCCCGGTGGATGTTGCGCCTGCAAGAGTATGATTTTTCCATCCCTCATGTTCCAGAAGAAGAGAATGTTTTACCGGATATTTTATCTGGAACAGAAGAGGTAGAGCTACGAAGAAAGCGCCGTTTCATTTGATGTACGGGAGCAGACCACAACTACCGATACATAACAAGACCTGGCCCCTCCATCAGCATTGGAGTATGACGAGATGGCGGACGGAGCGGAAAGAAGACATCAACAACGTAAAGAGAAAGCAGAAAGTAAACGCTGTAAAAGCCGAACTGAGGGTAAAGGGGAAGTACCCCGCATTCGAGATCGGGGATCAAGTCAAATGTAGAGACAAGCAAAACACCGGCGGATACGTGTCAGGGTCGCGAAAACTGCTACCAAAGTGGGAGGGACCATACACAGTCACCGCGAGATGGGGTCACGTACATACCATCGAAAATGCAAACAGAGAGAAGCGGGTGAACGTCAGCGAGCTCCAGAAATGGGTAGGGCGAGATAAACCAACGAACACGCCAGCACCAAGAAGATCAAGTCGACTTCAATCCAAACGATTTGACGGGGGAACGAGTGTGGTGAGAGCTGGCTGCTAGCCAAATTGGTAGATAGTAATTTACAACAGTGTTTGGGTCCTCAATATTGGCCGTGAGAAAATATGAACAAAGGCTGATCCAACAACCAACCACAGCAGACCTTGCGTAGGCGAATACAGTTAGCATATAGATGATCTGACATTCAAGAAACAGCCACAAATAAATGGAAGATTAATATTCAGTGGGAAACAACTGCCAATCAGAATATCGTGTTTGTTTGCTTAAATGATCTGTAATAATGTACATGAAAATATGTAAGTATGTGTTGATTTCCTTAATAAACGATCTGTTGCCTGGCCATTGTCTTCTGTTGTTACAGAAGTAGTGAGCAACAACTAAATACCTGAAAAGCAAATTATTTGTATCTGTGACCACGCTGGTGGTAAACATTGTCAACCACTTCCCAATCTGTGCAGTGAAAGTATGATTTCCGGACATCCCGCCTGGCATGTCTGTAGCTTCTGAGTAAAGATTAGTTGCTTTAGCGTTTATTGCTGAACTTGAGCTGGAATACGCGTTAAACTTTCTATGTACTGCTTTGTGATCGTTACTACGAAACTCTTCACCTACTCGAAGGGTTTAGAATATGATACCACCAGGGGAAATACAAGTCCAAAACTTTGGTTTAACTAGTTGAATATTTTATGCATCATAGCTGGTCCTTTGTCTCTAAAACTGTTCAAAAGTGTATCGTATCGTTTGGGGAAGCGAAATAGTCAAATTACACTTGGCATGCTGAAGTCCCGAAATAGAATTTTTGCCGTGTGTAGTAGTCAAGCGGAGTTCTCACACATATCTCCTGGCCTCATATCGCTTTCAGTAAATGAGTAGAGGGCGAACAACGCAACCTGTTGGATAGGTGATATCTTATCCTAGGAAAGATTGTTCGAACAGAGTGAGTTGATGAAACAGGTGAGGGTATAGATTGATAGTGATACTGGGATTTATGTTACTCCTTCTACATCCTGTACTATCTGCATTTACAATGAGAATGTGATGTTGTTTTGGCTAGGAAAATTTGGGTGTTATGAAGTAGTAGAGGGAGGTAATTCCTGTGAATAATGCATTGAAGTCGAGTTCTGCGCTCCATCAGTGCGTCTTCTTTTGAGTATACCCAAGTTACTTTCGTAAGTTCGTGTCTATGGACGTGTTCTAGTGTTCTCTATCAAATGTTTCACAAGGACCTGTTGCTTTAGACAACACATTTTGAAGGAGTACTCAGCTCACAGTTTCCTTGTTACAAACGTCTCTGACTAGCTTCATGGAGAACTTTTGCCATGGATGAAGTTGTGCTAGTTTAGTAGTGTATCACTTGAAAGGGGTTTGCATTATCGATGGGCATCTAGTGTGTCTCTCGGGTAAAGGTCTTATATGCACCAGATAAGTCCCGTCTGTTGTCACTGTCCTCTACTTTCACTATGTATTATCCATTTTACGAACTAGTGTAGGTCAGGTCGATTTCTATAAGCTGTCTTTTCGGTTTCATTATGGCTGCATTTTTCCCAATCTTTGGGAGAGCCAGGTGATTTTTCAGCTATTGAATAGTCCGGGCAAATGTTGCGGAGTTAGTTACATGCGGTCTGATGCATGAGGTGTTAAGACTGCGCCCTTACTGCAGGTGGAGTTGATTCTATCATCCATTGGTCGTCGGGTTTTTCCAAAATTGTGGCAGCGATAATAATAGGTAGATTATTCAGACTTGAGTGTAGACGGTGTTGATGGACATATAGAGTAGTTGGAATAGTCATTCTGTTCTTTTGTAAGCTTGTAACCAGTAATTGTATCACCCTTAAGCTAACGCTAGTTAAGTGTGGAAAGACTTAATTTCCACAGTCTCCCGTCGTATGGTTTATTCTGAAAACCACTGTCCATTTCATTGAACGTCTTCGGACCCCTTCCCAAAGTTTGGTTACTTTTTTGAGCAACGATGGAGCAATGATATTGTAAATCTCAAGGGTGTGTCATACGGATGTGCTATACAATTTCAGTAAAAGCTCGTCAGTTAACACGCATACTGCCCATGCTTCTTCACCCCGTCAGCCAGGTAATTCATGCTTTTTTCAGTCTTTCCACTAGGTTGAGACCCAAATTACGATCTACCGTCGTACAGAACAGATTGTCGTCACACAGAGAACAACTTGATCTCTGTGGCATTTGGTCACTTAGTTGATATACTATGCAGTTTTTTTGGTCGAGAGGTATGCTACTTACCTGTGGCTAGTCTCACAGGATATTTATGCCCGACCACAACCTCAGAGACGTGGCGGGTCATAAAGAGCATCTCAAACAAACTTCAGACCTTCATTAACAGTTGTCTTCGCTCAATACTCAAGATCAGATGGCCAGAAAAGATCAGCAACAGGGTGGGATCTCTGCAATGAGCGAACCAACCAGGACTGATTGTGAAACAAATAGACAGGAAGAAATGGAGATGGATTGGCCATACTCTGAGGAAACCATCAAGTGACATCACTAGACAAGCCATTGCTCGAGTGGAACCCGAAAGAGAGGCGGCGAGTTGGTCGTCAGTGCAAGGGTGACTTGGAGGAGGTCATGTGAGGAGGAGATGAAAGCATGTGGACAGACGTGGAACGGGGTGAAAAAGTTGTCAGAAAACCGAAGGCAATGGAGGTGCGCAGTTGAAGCCCTATGTCCCTCTAGGAACCAAAGGATAAGACAAATAAATAATAACAACCTCTGCGAAAGACGAGATGCAGAATAACAGCGTTAAATGCCTTTCCAAAACCTAGGATCACATGAATTGAAACACTCATATCACAGCATGATGCTCAGTTATTCTATGTAAATGTGATTTACTGCATTGGACTTAAGTTACCTGAAACCGTGTTGTACTCTATGGAGTACATGGCCAATGTAGTCATTATCCAAGCTCTCCAGTAGTTTCGATAAATACAGAAGTAGCGCCGCTGGTCTGTAGCTCTCAGCTTTACATAAACCTCTATACATGACTCTCTAGTACTCCTTTAACTCACATTAAGCTTCGACAGTACGCTGTGTACTTTTCTCACTATAAGAGAATTGCTTCCCAGAGTGAAGCCTAGCTCCCAAAATTTCTTCTTCTTCTTCTATTGATAATTCATTCCACCTTAAGGACTTCTGCGTCAGACCAAAATTTTCACATCTTGGTGTATTCTGCTAGTCTACATCATAGATAAGATAATATTCAGCACGCTTGAGACTCCAGAGGGGATGGACTGTAATGAAATCCACTTGGAATCTTGAACACTTCTGAAATAACGTAAGGTAAGAGCTTAGAAATTACAGGCTTCGTAGAAGCTTTTAGAGAGACATTGGATATAAGAGGGCAGTAGTTTTGCCCATTTGGCAAAGGCCAGGGAGACAAATAGTCACAAGCAGTAGAAAAGCTGTAATAACTTCAGTCTTTTATGCTCTTAACATCAACTCTTCAGTTAACACTGTTTTGTTTTTATTACTACATGCAGGGCCTAGAGCGGGTTGTTGAAAACTATTTTTCAGTGTTTTGAGCGCAAAAATAATTGGCATGTTTAGGTGCCTTTTAATTTCCTTTTCACTAGTTTAAAGCACCCTAGAGTGAGATTGTATCATTACTCTACTCTAAGGTTGCAATGTCAATTCGAAGAGCTACGGATCCTGTTTATCTTCAATTTATATGGAATGCTATTGAAGCATGTACTAGAGATTCTATTGAGTCAACATTTCATGAATTATTGTCATTTATTCAAAGAGAATGTGAATCAAAATGTACTGCTGGAAAGTTACAAAGTGAATTGTCGAATGCAATCAGTGATGGATGCATAGAATGTAATCAACGATGTTATGTGAAGTGTGATCCTACACCAAAAAATAAGGATAAACACGACTGGTATGTTTATATTTTTAAATATCATGTTTACAGTTTAGTGAGTGTGATTTGGGATTTATATTGTTTTCCTAGTTGTATTTATCGCACAAATGGCTGGCTTCCTCTTTTTGACTAACTAGGTGTATGAATAGTCGCTAATATCCGTACTTTTATGTCCATAAACTTTATGTCAAGCAACAGGCGACTTTTAAATTACGTATGGCTATTGAGTAGTGGCGTCTTGCGCTGGCGGATAACTGTCCAAACGATTCTAGCTTGCTATTGGGGCTAGTTAGGATGGTTTCTAATTGCGTAGAATTACATTTGAGTCTCAGTCAGCAGAGTTGAATTAACTGGCTCCTTAGGCGGTGTGAGTATTATCCAAGGGTTTATAACACCACACCACGAGAACTCCGTCTGATGGTTATCTTCCTGACTGCGGGTGACAGGTGGTTTCTCAAACTCCATTTAGTCAGTTTGACAAGTGTGTTTGAAGGTGTTATGAGGTCAGCTGTTGGATTTTTCTCCACTTTTTTGGTTTTTGTGGTCAAATTTTGCCCTGGCGTTAACGACCAGGCAGTTGCCCAGGTGGTTTCCACCAAGAGATTAGTAAGATTATTCCAGACCCCCTCTCCCCAGCCCTACCTGTTTTGTAATGTAACAAGTTGAGTTGATTTGTGTCGTGTCTATTGTCACACACGTTGTCTGGCATTTTTAGTCGTCGTTTCACGTCCAAAAGTTGGGATTGTTCTGACCGATCCAGTCACGTGTCTGTAATTTCTGTCTCGTGATATGTGGGTAGACTGCTATTTTGAATATTGGTTCAGAGAAATTTGATTGTTCTCAGGGTTAATCACCAACTGGTTTCACTTAGGCTTAGAAAGTACTGGGTAACCTTGTCGTCCTCGTCTACTGCTTTCCAGCAGTGTTTGAACGGTTTATGAGCTAACATTGTAATGTGAAGGCTGTGAATCCAGTCCCTGGCGGTGGCGTCCGGGTAGCGCACTGAAGAGACCCTAACTGGGGTGAGGCAGCTGGTTTTTTATTGATGAATATGTAACTGGAGACTTTTTGCTGAGTAGTTCTTTTCATGAATGCATTCTCAGATACCTTCCGTTGGACTTACTGATCAACTCAGTGTATCGATCACTAGCTGAAACCTTCCTCAACTCATCAAGGTTTATGCAGTCAGTCACTGGTCGTTAAATAATACTCAATGTTTCTGACTCATGTTCTTGAATATATGGATGTTGTTACTCAGTCCAGCATTTTTATGTACAGACTGGTTTCGACCAATACCTATTAACTTTATTTCTGGGCTTGCTTACCTTACTGACGCAACAAACTACACTGGCTTGAACTAATACTTTCGCAGGTCCTGCCGTGTCCAAAAGGTTGTTTGTATAGTGGTTAGACTAAAAGGTTCTCATAGTGTTATTCTTTTTTACTAGGCTGGGGGTGGGTGGGTGGGTGGAGGTGTGAGTGCGAAGTACTGCCGCCGAGTGGGGATGAAACAGGAGTCAGGTGTCTCTCTTACACGACCAATAAGCCAGCTTTGGTGCCTGTCCACTTTGGGGCGGAGGTCGACCTCGAAAAATCTACACCCTGATTTACATCGCGATAGTCTAGAGTCAGTGAACACAGCTTCAAAAACACACGTAGACACATTGTGACCGGCTTGAAACAGCTGTCTTCTGGGTTCTGGGCCCATTCAAAACAAATGCTCCTGTCCCAGATAGCTCAAAAGGAAAATAATTTCCACTGTGTGAGCCTCCCACATCTCCATAAATAAACTTCCACTTCTGGTACGTACTTCGCATATCTGTTAGAGACTGCTGGTGATAGCTTCCGAAATAGCCTCAGGAGGAGTGAAATTCAAACCCATTATCGAGTTGAAAGTTGAGTTCGTAAACTGGTGCACCACTACTCTAAACTTGAATGTACATGCACTTGCATGATACATATAAAAGTATAATAGTTTGGAAGGCGTATACGCACGTTATTCATGCTGTACGCTGCTGGTAGTGAATCTCAAGTTCTTAGTTTGGTCACGTGATGTCTGTCTAGAACACCAGGCTCACTGCTACTTATTTTTCGGTCAGCTACTCTCAAGTTCGAACCCAGCCCTATCTATTTGATTGTAAGCAATCGCACGTTATCATAATCCCCCACGTTATGTGGTTTGTAGTCAAGCACATCAAGCTATATCAATTAGCATTGTTGTATTTCATAATATATTGGGTTGTAGCTTGCTTTGTGATCGGTAGGCTTGTTAAAAGTCGGTCCATTTAACTTAATTACCTGAAGTTATACCTTTAGCAACCACGTATAAATCCTGTCTGTGCTGTCGATATCGAAAAACCTCGTGAGAAAGCTTTAAAACTTTGACTAAAGTGTTTTGGTAAACAGTTTGGCACGTTTAACTTAACCTTACCATATTCGTCTCTGGTGATCGGACAACACTGGGCGTTCACCCTTATTGCCTTTTGATCCCGTCGTTCCACGTGTGCAATAGTGGTGAACCCTGTATTGATAATATCTTTTTTGCAGTTAACTTTGAGTTCGTATTCCACTCCACGTGCCTAGACGACTGGGTAGTGTCACGATAAATAGGACTCAGTTTGACACGTAAGAAAACTTGTCCTGCTTAACTGTCATACAAAGAAACATTGGCAAATAAGTTGATTACAACCACGGTGAGAATGAGACACCATTCTGTCCGTCATAAGATTGTTTAGTTTGCATCAGCTCACACTGTCTCCACACCTGAGACATGACAGCCAAAAAGAGTTAGTGAAAAAATGAGTGATATTTTTTTTATCCTACTGTTTGCAAGAGATGAAGTTACATTCCAGCTAGCGAAAACCTCGGCTGCAGACTGGCTGAGTCTATCGAAACACTTAGCTCTAATGTTAAAAATCGTTCAAACCCTAGGTTAACTAATTCATATGAGATGAAAAAGCAGACTGACTGAGTTTCAACATAGAACTATGCGCAGCAGTTTAGCAGTTCTATAAGAACAGAATGAAATTGTGGCATTTCTAGTTAAGGTAAACAAAAGAGAAAAAACATTCAGAGGAACTATAATAAGCAGAAATGTAAGGGATAAGGAATGATAATGTGGAAGGGCATGGCGGTTTAGTGGATATGGAATATGTAGAATGAAGTCACCTGCTCCATATCATCAGCCCGGATTTCTCCACTTGGATCAAGCCAAAAGTCAAAGCCTTGATGGAGTGACTCCAGGTTTCTTGACCACTCCTTTCTAACTTAATACTGTGTCGGTTAACATTGCTCATCGAGGAAGGCGGGTGACTCGTCACCCTCACAAATTCATCGGTTGATTCGCCCTCCATATCTAATAGTTGGGCTGACAACAATATTGTTTATCATACCATAACATTTAATACGGTAGATAGAACGCAAACATCTGTTGTAAGAGACAGCTAGCTTCCTTCAAGAGTTGTGTCATAAATTCTACTGTATATAAGGGATGAAACTGCATCTCGGATAGGCAGACTCTGGCACACTGCAAGCACTGAAATTAAGGAAGCGTGAAAAACGTAGAGCTCATATTTCAGGTTGTGTAGTATGTTTGCTTCAAGTTGTCAGTATCTCTAGTGCACCGGAAGGTTTCGAAAATCGACTGGACTTATATATTTCTTTTCATATTTATGTAACGAGGATACCCATCTCTCGTTGTGGCTTCAGCACCTCAAAGTCTCACTGATGCTGTTACGCAGCTTACTGTCAATGGGAAATCAATGCAAGCTCTAGTGGATACCGGAAGCAGTGAGAGCTACATCTCTTCCTCAGTTGTTCGTAAGTATAACTGGAAAGTCCATAAGTCTCGAAACAGAATCACAATGGCGAGTACGAATCTTACTAGTCATACTGAAGGACATTGTCTTCTATCCATCTGCTATAAAAACCACACTTATGATCTATTCAAATTTTCCATTCTTCATAATTTATGTGCAGACGTCCTTCTTGGACATGATTTTTTAAAACTTCACAAACACATTGAGATTCCTTTTGGGGGATCAAAGCCGCCTTTTTCTCTCTGTGGTCTACCTTGTGTTCGCGTCGACCTGCCTACTCTGTTTGAAAATCTTTCAAAAGACTGTAAACCGATCGCGATAAAATCCCGGCGTTATTCTCGTGAAGATGAAAGTTTTATTTCCACCGAAGTCAACCGGTTACTGCAAGAAGGTGTTATTGAACCTTCTAATTCTCCTTGGCGAGCTCAAGTTCTTGTTACGTCAAACGAACGCCATAAAAAGAGGATGGTAGTTGATTATAGTCAGACAATCAATCGATTCACTTTTCTGGATGCTTACCCATTACCTAGGATTGACGAAATGATAGAAAAAATCGCACAATATGACATATTCAGCACTCTTGATCTGAAGAATGCTTATCATCAAATTGCCCTAAGGAACGAAGATAAACCATATACTGCTTTCGAGGCTTGTGGGAAACTTTACCAATTTTGCCGAATTCCTTTTGGTGTTACCAATGGCGTAGCTTGTTTTCAACGCATTATCGATGAATTGATCAGTAAAGAACAACTCACAAGCACGTTTGCCTACATTGACAATGTCACTATCTGCGGCAAAACTCAGGAGGAACACGACAAAAATCTAAACAAGTTTATGGTAGCAGCACGCAATTATGGAATAACCCTTAATGATTCCAAAAGTGTGATCTCAAGCAGAAGCATACAATTACTCGGTTATGAAGTTTCAAAGGGGGTTATTAAACCAGATCCCGATCGGCTAAAACCTCTTCGTGATCTAGAACCACCCACAGATATCAAATCTCAACAACGGGCCGTTGGATTATTTGCTTATTATTCACAGTGGATCCCTCGCTTCTCAGATAAAATCCACCCATTGGTAAATAATCGGATTTTCCCTCTTGATATCGAAACTCGAAATGCTTTTGACAAACTGAAAGACGACTTAGAACGTGCAGTCGTTGTGGTAGTTGATCCGAAAGCACCCCTTGTTGTTGAAACA